ATTTTAAACCCTCCCCACACTCTTGGAATATTCTAAATAATGTTTCTAAACTCTAAATGCTCTAAAAGATCACAGAATGATCTCAGCTCTCTGCCTCCTCTCAGGCAAGGCTGCACTTTGCGCTCTTGGCCATGCCCACTTCTTTACAGCAGAATGGAGATCACAGAAGAGGAAAGAGGAAGGACTGCAGGAGGACATTTCTCCTGCAGTGTGGGCTGCACACAGGTGCAGCAGGTGCTAAACAAATTAAAATAATTCACTTTAAATAAAAATTCCATGCTGATCACGTGACTTATCCATCAATCAGCCAATTGTGTGTCATGTCCAATTTTATTTTGAAAAACCGTGATAGAGTGAGTCTGCGATAAACAAACCGCAAAATAGCTGTATATACAGTAGTCTAATCCAGTTCAGTAATGTTTTCGGTCTTTTTATTTAGCCTTTTGAAGAAAAAAAAACAAGAAAAAACATATTTTTCTGAGCTGTTGGTCACTGTGATCCATCTGTCATTTTATGTTAGACTAATGATGAATTGCTATTAATCAGAGCACAAATTTTGAATCATCTGTCAGCATTGGCTGAAAACATCCGTCCATTATCTTTACCCAGTTCTTCCTTTTCGGGTTGTGGGGGTCCCTGGTGCCCATATCCAGCAGTCACCGTGTGAGAAGCGGGGTGCACCCTGGACAGGTCACAAGTCCATCATAGGGCCACATAGAGACAATAGATGCAACCATTCGCACTTTCACTCACACCTATGGACAATTTAGAGTAACAAATCAGCCTAACATGCATGTTTTTGGTCTGTGGGAGGAAACCAGAATGTCCATAGAAAACTCACACATGCATGGAGAACATGCAAACTCCACCCAAAAAGGCCTCTGGCCAGGAGGCCAAATGGAAATGCAAAGTGATACAGTCAGTGTGTTGTAAGACAAATACAAATGCATAGTTTTAAGCTCTGCAGATTTGTAAAGCTAGGTAATAATTTTTATGCAAATGACACACACAACACTACACTTCAATGTATTGTTGAACAAACAAATGGATTTATGAAGTTTGAATGTAAAACCAACAGTGTACTCTGATGGTTTTACTTCTTTTGTTTATGTCCTCAGTGAGACACTTCTGTTAAGACAGCAATATAACCTGGAGACTTCATTCTGCTTTTAAAGACTGAACAGACAGTCAGTTCCACAACCTTTCTCTTCACCAATTTGAAGAAACCAATTTATTGCTTCCAGGAGAAACATTATTCTTCTGACTTACATTGAAGGCCTTTAATCTCTCAGGATCAACACCTTCGGTGTCGTTGATTTTGTCGTTGTCGTCATGATCGTCATGGTCATCCTCGTCATCGTCAGGGGCAACCTGACTGCCATGGCGCCCCGTCGTCAGGTCCTCAGCACACAAGTCCATCTTCATGCTATCGTAGCTGCCACTTGAACTGTACTCTGGAGACTTAACACAAAATATTTACTTATTTTTGTTTGTCTTCACTTTATATTTATATCTTGACACTAATGAATTTTATATATCAGCTTTATTTTTGATTTTGTTATTATTTCTTGATTACACCACAGAGACAATGATCTCCAAAACACAAGAAATAAAATAAAAACCACAAGTCACAAGGATGAGTGGCTCACATTGAAAAGAAGGCTGAAAGGCAAGACAAACAGAATATTCCAACTGTTTAAATGATTCAATGGTGCAATGTGCAATCCCACAAAAATAGCACAACTTGTCAATACCCAAGGCTATAAAGATTGACAAACAATATATTACAGCTCTGGTTACTAGCATGAACATGTACAATTAATAAGCAGAAGCCACTAGAATAAGGGTATTCTCCACCACACCATCCAGATTGTACTCTCAATGGCAGAGCAACAAAACAAGAGTAAAATGTCCAGAGCTGAGACTGAGCAGTAATGGAGAAGCATCACTTCACCACTTGCTCTTGCCGAGGGCGGATGCTTTTCCCATCCTCTCCCTCCACCGCTTTGCTTTGCTGCTCTGTCCTGTCTGTGAAACTGCTTCTGAGCCTCTCTCTACATATCCTCCGAACCATAATTTTGTGGATCTGGTAAGTTGGTCTCTCAACTCAATGGACAAAATTTTTGAGACAACCTTCAGGTGAGCTGAACTGCCTGGACGACACGCATGCAGCTGGATATGTCTCTGGAGGAAGTGGAATGTGATGTGTATATCTCTGCTGTTGATCAAGGACGCCAAAATTGCATAAAATTGGATTTATGGTAACAGGTTTCTTGTTTTTGGAATTGTCTGGTTCCTAGTTTATCAACATACAAAGAAGACGGCCGCAGCTAATCTGGCCTGGTCAGGCTGCCATTTATGTGAAGGTTTGCCTCGTGTCTCGAGCACCCAAACTCTATTGCTAAGGAGACTGGATCGCAAATTGAATGTGATTTGTGAGAATCGCATATGCGGCCCCTAGGACTTGCTGGCAGGAAGGATCAAATCTCGGGGATTCTCAGGCATGGATCAGTGGTGTGTCCACTTAATTTGGACCTTTCAGAATCTATGTGATACCAACAAAGACTCAAGGCAGATAAAATTCAGTAAAGTTCTGCCTGCCTTCAAAACAAACATTGTTTATCTGAATTTGGCTCCCTCGGTTGGCCTTGCTGGCCTCCTTATCTCAATTTGCCTGGAGGTTCTGTAATTTGATGCTCTCCCCCGCTCCCTACCACTGAGGAAGCCCACTTATCAACCTGAGAGAACCAGCTGAATAAACACTGTCATCATTTCAGAACTCTTGGATTCTCATTGGCTTGTCCTTGGCCATTCCCGACACCCCTCAAAAGAGTATTTATGGATCTCACTAGAGGGAACTGGCTGATTATTCCACCCTTAGAACTCCTACAGTGCCTCCAGGAGTATCCTTGGACACTCTCACTGCCCTTGTCATCCCCCCACCCTCGCAAAATGTTTACGTCATCATGTGCTTATATGTGCGAGGTGGTTTTTTTTCATTATCAGGTTCTTTCTTCTCAGCCAAGAAGAAAGAGTTTGATAGAATTTTTTTCTCCTCCAAATCCTACATATATTCACTTCCACTACTTTTTTGTCTGTCCAAATAGATCTCACTTGTAAATGAGTCTTCAAGGCTCAATGTGATTTATCTGTCTAAATTAAATAAAGGTTGAATGAAAGGTAGAATGAATATGGAAGAAAGAGGCATCACACAATAATGATGCACGATGGCAACAAGATCTAAGATCTCAACATAGCAATCTCCCAGAACAAGAAGAAGTGCTCATTACAGTGGCAGACATCCAAGACAAAATCTCAGGAATAAAGAGCTAGACTGTACTTGGGCCTGACATGATTCACCCCTACTGGCTAAAGAAAATGACTGCTCTCCATTAACACCTAGCAGCACAGACAAACCAGATGCTAATGGAAGGGTCCTACACAGCATGACTGACCCAAGGCTAGACAGTCCTGATTATGATAGACCGCCAGAAAGGGGCAATTCCATTCAACTACTGCCCAATAAACTGCCTCTATACACCATGGAAGCTCCTATCAGGCATCATAACGGCTATGATAAATAGGCATGTGGGTCAATATCTGAGTACAAAAGGGAACTGATACTAAGGCTAAAGTGCCAAACACCAGCTACTGGTCAATAAACCTGTAGCTCAAGCTTGTATAACCATATACACAAACTTTTGTACTCCCAGGACTGACAACAGGAAAGCCTTTGACTCATTGCCAAGCACACGAGTACCAGAATGCTTAAACTATACAAAATATACAACTGGATACAAAACTCTTCTTTGATAACTCAGACAATGCAAAGCCAATTATAAATGAAGGGGTGGAAATACCTAGAGGCAAACCTGCAGTTATTAAGGACAGCTACAAATACAGTGCCCATCAAAAGTATGCACCCCTCTGACATTTTACCTTTTCTTGCTATTGTAAACATGTGGTGATCAATACAAATTGGCCTTGTTGAAAAAACAAACAAGAACAAAAAAACACTCTTCAATGACAAAGTGAAATCAAAATACAGTAGTCCCTCGCTACTTCACGGTTTGTTTTTCGCTGACTCACTCTATCGCGGTTTTTCAAAGTAAGATTGGACACAACTGGCTGATTGATGGATGAGCCGCATGATTGGCATGGAATTTTTATTTTAAATAAATTATTTTAAATTATTTAGCACCTGCTGCACCTGTGTGTAGCCCACAAGCTGCAGGAGAAGCTCCCTCCTGCAGCTTGTTATATCGCCGCTCTGCAGCGGAGAAGTGGGCTTGGCTGAGAGCGCTGACAGGTGGCAAAGTGCAGCTGGAGGCAGAGAACTGAAATCATGACATTATGTGCTCTTTTAGAGCATTTAGAATTTAGAAGCATTTTTTTAGTGCAAGAGTGTGGGAAGAGTTTAAAACACCTTAATATATTTATCAATAAATACAAAAATAAATGACTACTTACTACTTGTACTGTTCCTACTTTGTGGTTTTTCATTTATCGCGAGGCTTCAGGGTACGGATCCCCCGCGATAAATGAGGGACTACTGTAATGGCAATTAAATAAAAACAAGTGATGTAAAATACACAATTGCTCAAATTTTCACCCCCTTAAAGTGACTGTCCTAATTAAACTCAGAGAAATGATAACTAAAAGGTACTCCTACCGAGGCGTATAACTCCTTCAGGTGGTCACGCATGTCATGGTGGCCACTCTGACTTTCCTCTTTCTTGCTCACTCACTCACTTTGTGAGGACGGCCTGCTCTTGGTATATTTACACGTCCCATATTCTTTTCACTGCTTGATGATGGATTTAGCAGAACTACTGGGGATGTTTGGGGCTTTGTATCCATACTTTGACTTGTACTTTTCAAAAAAATCTTCTGAGTTGAATGAGGACAGTCACTTCAAAAGAAATGAATGTTTAGACAGTCACATTTAACATCCATCCATCCATCCATCCATCCATCCATCCATCCATCCATCCATCCATCCATCCATCCATCCATCCATCCATCCATCCATCCATCATCTTTGTTCACTTCTTCCTTATATTTTTATATAAATTATTTTTATTTAATGGCACGCATATTTCATTTGTGATTTTAATCCAAATGGCAAATGACAACCAAGATAAGTCCACAAAGAAGTAAGCAACCAAGTACCTACAAAAATTAAGGTAGACCTTGAACTGTCACCTATCCATCCATCCATCCATGCATTATCTTTACCCGCTTCTTCCTTTTTGGGCCGTGGGGGTCACTGGTGCCCATGTCCAGCCATCACTGTGTGAAAGATGGGGCACACCCTGGACAGGTCACAAGTCTATCACAGGGCCACATAGAGACAAACAAGACAAACAACCATTCTCACTCTAGGAACAATTTAGATTTATCAATCAGCCTAACATGCATGTTTTTGGTCTATGAGAGGAAACTGGAGTACCCGGAGAAAACCCACGAATGCATGGAAAGAACATGCAAACTCCACCCAGAAAGGCCCTTGGCTGAGATTTGAATCTGCGACCTGCTAGCTGAGAGGCAGCAGCTCTACCAGCTGCAACACTGTGCTGTTGAACTGCCACCTAATTACACTAATACAGGCAGTGGTCTACCATACCAGGCAGGTCCCAAGACAGACTGTGCAAAGATGCTCCTGAGACAGTCCAGCACATAATTTTAGAATGTAAAATGCATGCAGGCAAAGCATACATGGAACACCATAACCAAGAGGCTGGAATAGTGTAAACAAACATATTTGCCAAGTATGAATTGGAGGTCCCACAATCAAAGCGGGAGATGCCACCAAGGGTGGTGGAGGATGGTAGGACGAAGATTCTGTGGGATTTTCAGATCCAGACTGATAACAGGTGAGGGATAATCAACCAGACAGTGTGGTCATCTACAAGCTAGAGAAGAAGGCAGTAATAATAGATATAGCAATCTCAAGTGACTGTAACATCAAAAAGGAGGAGGAGGAGAAGCTTGAAAAATATCAAGGGCTGAAAGAGGAAATACAAAAATTGTGGAAAGTCAAATTGATAGTAGACCCAGTTGTGAATGGAGCTCTTGGTGTTGTGACCCACAGACTGGATGAGTGGCACCAACAGATCCCAAGAAACACCTTAGAGATATCTGTCTAAAAGAACACAGTCCTAGGAACAGCTAAGATTCTCTGGGACCCCCACAAACCTTCAAGCTTTCATTTGCTCATGGATGGATGGATGTGTATGTCTGTGAGTGCTCTCACCTTGCTCCCATAGTCCCTGCTGTCCTGATCCAGTCGAAGACCTGTGTTGTGAGTGTGTGGATTGTGGATGTGAGTACTGTGCACATGGGGTAAAGACAGGGCTGCATGTTTGGCAGTCAGTGAGTACTTCCTGTGGAGCTCCTCTGGCACACTGGGATGTAGAGCTCCAAGCAGAGCAGCAGCTGCTGCTGAAACAGTGATGGGCAAATGTGAAGTGGACAGGCGCTGAGAGGACGGATCACTCAGGTTCACAAGCTGCTGGTCTTCAGATGACGAGGAAGAGGAAGATAGTCTGCTGAAGTCAAGTGGGGCAGAACCACTACTGCCATTGATAACATTTGTTTCACTGATGATGGCATCATCCGTCACCGCAGAGGATGGAGGGGTCAGGACAGGTAGGCCAATCCCACCAGCACTCTCTGATGAAGAATCATCTAAAAGCAGACAGACAGAAGTGTGAAGATTTAAACTGCTCTTGTACTCCAATATAATATGGACATCTTAATGCCAGTATAGACTGAAGGAAGAGCTGAAGATTTGAGCATGCTGGAAAGAGACAGCAGATTGACATTTTTTCTAAACACTTCTGTACATCTAAGATGTGCTTTAATATGTGTACTGAATCTACAGAGCTTTGAAAAAGTACAGTATTCATACCAGTTGAACTTTTCCATATTTTGTCAAGTTACAACCACAAACTTCAAAGTATTTTACTGGGTTTTTACGTGAAAAACTAAGCATTAAGAGGATTAAGAGGATTAAGAGAATCTGCGGTGGAAGTGGTCTCCAGCTACAAGTACTTGGGTGTACACATGAATGACAACCTCAGCTGGAGCAACAACATCACCAGCCTGAACAAGAAAGCTCATCAGAGACTCTACTTCCTCAGACGGCTGAGGCGAGCTGGTCTGGGAAGCTCAGTCCTCACCTCCTTCTACAGGTGTGCAGTGGAGAGCATCCTGTGCTCCAGCATCAACGTGTGGCATGGAGGCTGCACAGCTGCAGAAAGAAAAGCTTTGTAGAGAGTGGTGAAGGCTGCACAGAAGTCTGTCGGAATCAGCCTCCCCACCATCACAGACATCTACACCTCCAGATGCAGGAAGAGGGCCACCTGCATCATGAAGGACCCCACTCACCCAGCACACACACTTTTTGCCCCACTCCCCTCAGGAAGGAGGTTGAGGAACATTGTGTAGAACCACTAGACTGAGGAACAGCTTCTACCCTGAGGCTGTTAGACACACAAATCTCTAACCAGAATAATCACTGTGAAAATCACATCATGTTGCTGCTGATCTGTTTCAATGTTGATGTGTTCATGCGTGCACATCCGCTCACACAGACTCATGTTCATGTTTGTGCTGATGTTCAATGTTTTTATGTTATGAGTGCTTCGTGTATATTTAGTTGATGTTTTTCTTAGTTCATATCTTAGATGTTATTACTGTTTTTCTTATACATTTTATTGTTGGATGTAACTGGGACCCTGTGTACATAATTTCGCTCCACCACATGTACCACATGAGGTGCGAATGACAATAAAGAATCTCTGACTCTCTCTGACTCTGATTAAGCACTAATGCAATTGATCAAATTTTCAACAAGAAGACAGGGTGAAGGAGAACCCTCTTACCTTGACAGAACATTATTCCTAGGGGATGTATGTAATTAGATTTATGATAACAGATTTCTGCTTTTTGTAGTTGGTGGTCACCTGGATTATCGACAAATTATGAAGAATGTGCCATGCTTGGCAACACTCAAGACTATGCTGTGTGAACTATTTGTGGACCTGTATCAGAGCTGAACCAGCTGATAGACGTACCATCTTTTATCAGGACTACAGAACTTTCTAGCAGTGTTCATGGACAGTGGGAATAGATCTTGGAGAAGTTGTAAGCTGGACTCGGCATACGTAATCACAATTTTGGCTGTTTGAAGTTGCCATGAGATGAGATGTATGAGTGTGACTGTAAAGACAGACGGAAATTAACAGAGCTCGGCCTGACCCAAAACAAATGTTGATATCTGAATCTGGCTCTGACATTGGATGGCTGACTATCTTAATTTCTCCTTGACATTATGGAAACAAGACACTCTGCTCCCCCTCTCCCCTCCCCAAGGACATGGACCTGTGTCAGAGCTCAACCGAGTCGGCTGATAAACGCATCACCTCTTATCAAGACTATGGCTAGTAGGGGGCTCTGGCTCCTCAAACTCATGCCTTCGGTGACCTCCCTCATTGTCACTGACCACAGCTGGTAATCTCTCTTGACCAGCATAAAATTAAAAAAGTTATTTTATCCCCATTTAGATGCATAAACTCTCAGAAATTGGTTTCTCAGATCACACTATTGGTTGGTTCTCTAATCTTTCAGATCGGAGGCTGGGTGTTCAACATAATAGTTCTAATTATCTAACTGTTAATGGTGTACCACAAGTTTCAGTCTTAGGACCCACCCTCTTCACAATCTACATAAATAATGTAGGTCAGATCATTCCTGAAATCCTGATGCATCCTTACATTTCTATGCTGGTGACAGTTGTTTATTGTTGAGCTAGAACAGTTGCTTAGGCTTTCCAGCTTTTCCATTCTGCATTCAACATCATCCAGTCAGATTTGTTCAGTCTCAAACTTGTGCTAGATGCTGATAAAACCATAGGGATGTTAACAACAAAGTCCATGCTCATAGGGATGTTGTTTTCAAACAGGAAGTCGGTACCAGCAATCCTTCCTTCTGTTTTATCTTTGAATGGTGTTCCTATTGAGTTTGTCAAATCTTATAAATATTTGGGTATTTTGCTTGATTCACATCTCTCTTTTAAGTCTCATGTTGAAAACTTGGTAAAGAAACTGAAAGTAAAACTGGGTTTAGGTGCAGCAACCTAGGAGATGCGAGGGCGCCAACGGCTGCGTCGCTCACCTGGCGACCTGTACTGGGATCCCCACCCACTCCACATGCATATGTCTATTTCTATTTATGCTGCTTTTTTATGTGCTGTTTTTTTTGTTTTTTTTTGCAGTCTAATGCTGTGTCCTGCAGGGACACAGTGCGAGCTTGATTTATTTGCCCCCTTTTCCCTCATGTTCCCCTTTTCCTAATCTAACAAAAAAGGAGCACCTCTCAGAGGCTGCCGCCTCAGTCACCCTGTCTAGCCAAGTCTGTCTGTTTGTTTGTTTGTGGTTCTTCAGATGGGCTGTACTGAAATGTAATTTTGTTGCGCTCTGTGCAATGACAATAAAGCTGATTCCGATTCTAAATAATAGCAAATATTGGTGCAATGAAACAACGGTGATAAATGGTTTTCAATTATATCACAAATAAAAATCTGAAAAAATCAGATTTTTACCCATAACATCTTCAAATGATTGCTTCACAGCAACGTTTAACAAGTTCTTGCACTCATTCTCATAAAATTCAGCTTAGTAGTTTTCAAACACAACAGTTTTCTCATTAGTGGAAGAAAACAGCAGCAGTCCATTTGGGAACTAAAAAGGTGAATAAGAAAAAGAAAATGTGGCAGAGAATGATACTGTCCATGGCACTTAAATAGGAGTAGTGTTGATGTGTGAAAGTGTGTGATGGGGGAACCGGTACAGTTTGGAATTCAATTTGTTGCCCAGAAACAAGGATAGAGGAGCCAGGACATTATTTTTATTTTTTGCTATGTGTTGTCATGAAATTAGTTCTCTGCATTTAACCCACCACACATGAGATACACCCAGGTGGAGCAGTGGGCAACAATGTAAGCACCTGGGGAGCAATTAACAAAGTCAAGTCAAATTTATTTATAAAGCACATTTAAAACAGCAGCAGTTACCAAAGTGATTAACAATAAGATCAAGGCAGTAAATAAAAATACCAAGATGTAATTAAAAGCATCAAAAATAAAAACCAAAACATAAAAACAATGAGAAACAATGAAATAGTAAATCAAATCAAACTGTGTTAAATGACATTGAATACAGGTGTGTTTTATGGAAAGCAGGGAGTGAAGGGATTAGAGATTAGGTGTCTTGCTCAAGAACATCACAACATGTAAGCATGGTGGGGAGTTGAGCCTGTGACTTTCTGGTCCCAAGTGGGCTGCCTTACCTCTCCAACACAGCAGCCCCAGAACATGGAGAAGGAGAGGTGTAGAGACTAAGGTAAAGAGATATAAATGTAGGAGAGATATTTTTCAGTCTCCCACTTTTCACTATTTCTATTTCAAGCTTTGTGCACATTCCTGTTTGTGTGTGTGTGCTTGTTTCCATTACTTTGTGAGGACCATTTCTGAACACACACTACATTCTGAGGACCAGCTCTTTGTGTGGACCAAAGCCCGGTCCTCACAAGGTTCATGTTGTTGGTGGGTTAGGGGTTAGGTATAGGACTAAGGTGTGAATTGAGGATGGATTAGGGTTAGGGTTAGGCATGTACTTGTAATGGTTAGATTTAGGGTAAGGGTTAGGTTTAGTCTATAGAAATTAATGAAAAATTAATGGAAGTCAGTGCAAAGTCCACGTAAAGATAGCAAGACAAACCTGTATGTGTGTGTGTCTGTGTGTGTCTGTGTGTGTGAGAGCGAGAGAGAGAGAGAGAGAGAGAGAAGGACACAAGGCTCTTTAGTGTAAAGTGGGTGTAGAAGGTCAAACAGTAGGATGGTACAGTCATCAGAGATGTAACAAAGACACTGTTGTCACAGTCTGCACACACAGCTCAGTATTTCTTCCCATACTCCATTATGATCTCTGCACATTGCTTGGCATCATTTATTCCAGTGTTGGAGATTCAATGATACTCTCTCCACTCCTTAACTGTACAATCAGACCTCTGGAATCTCTACCCCAATGCTCTCCACAGCCATCTGTAATTCTTTGATGTCATTTTTCAATTAAAAGATTATTTCAGGTGAACAAGATGGCAGCAGAGGAGTAGGGTTATACTAGCATGGGCTCTTGCCAGTACTGCTTGAAAAGTGCCTTTTGAGAAGATATTCTTGCTACCTTTACGTTGGATGCTCCAATATTCAACATTGTTGTGATTGACTTGGCAAAGTTGAAGAATAGTTTCAAAATTGAAGAAATATAGGTATACAGGATCTGTGGACGTTGGGCCCAACATCGCTTTGGGGCACAGTACTTCCAAACCTGGGAACTCAGCTCAGCCCTCATCAGGTCCCAGAGAGACGGACAGGTCTGCCCTGAAATCAGACATTCTGGCTTCAATAAAAGCTGATATTTCAGCTGAAATTACATCAGAAATGAAAGCTGCCCTGGCAGAGGATCTTGCCTTTATTAAGGGTGAACTTCAGGCAGTGAGAGTGGAAATGGGTAACGGCACCATGACACTCCAAGCCGAACTGGACCAGGTTAAATTGAGTGTTAAAGATGTCAAAGATGGGCTTTCCTCCTGGTCGGATGAGGTTGCAGCTCTGCGCAGCACTGCAC